AGAAGACCGCCTTCGTCACTGAGAAAGGGATGTTTTGTTACGTAAAAATGCCATTTGGACTCAAGAATGCGGGAGCCACCTACCAATGGATGGCCAATCGTATCTTCGGAAGCCAGCTGGAACGGAACATAGAGGTTTACGTGGATGACATGGTCGTGAAGAGCCGTAGGACGGACCTCGTGGTTGACGATCTCTGAGAAACCTTCCAGATCCTCCGGTCGTCCAACATGAAGCTGAATCCTAAAAAGTGTGTGTTCTGCGTCAGGTCAGGAAAGTTCTTGGGTTTTTAGATTTCTCGAAGAGGAATTGACGTAGACCCTACAAAGATTCGGGCCATTCTGGACATGCAAGCCCCGCGTTCTGTCAAAGAGGTACAAAGGCTTACGGGTTCGATCACTGCTTTAGGACGGTTCCTGTCAAAGGCAGCCGATCGAAGCCTGCCCTTCTTCCAGGTCCTCAAAAAGTCTGACGCCTTCGGCTGGACTGAGGCATGTCAAAAAGCCTTTATCGAACTTAAGGAGCACTTGAAGACTCTTCCGACTTTGAGCACGCCCGACCCGGGGGAAACTCTGATTTTGTACCTGGCCGTGGGAGACTCCACCGTGAGTGCAGTGTTGGTGCGGGAACATAGTGGAACGCAGATTCCAGTCTACTACGTCAGTAAGGTTCTCCTACCCGCCGAGTCCCGATACACTATGGCGGAGAAGCTGATATTCTGCCTTGTGACTGCTGCCCGAAAGCTGCACCCATACTTCCAGGCACACCCAATCCTCGTTCTTACAGACCAAACCCTACAGCAAATCCTCCGAAAGTCCGACACGTCCGGTCGGATGGCTAAATGGACTGTGGAACTCGGGGAGCATGACATACAGTTTCGGCCTCGAACTTCAATCAAGGGTCAAGCCCTGGCCGATTTCCTTGTCGAAGTTCCCCGAGGGATGGAAGCTGCGGATGAAGTATGCCCTCAAGACGCCCCCTTGGCCCCCGCCGAATCGCAAGGTTGGACGCTGTTCGTGGACGGATCTGCATCCAGGGAAGGTTCGGGTGCGGGGGTGGTTTTGACCGACCCCCATGGGTCGGAAATTGTCTATGCCATTCAACTGGACTTCCCCACCACGAACAACGAGGCCGAGTACGAAGCGCTGATTGCTGGGCTTTCGATTGCCCACGCCCTCGGAGTCCAGGAGGTGTCGGTCTGCAGTGACTCTCTGGTGGTCGTCAATCATGTCCTCCAGTTGTACGAAGCTCGGGAAACGACCCTCCAGAAATACCTTCAAAGAGTCAGGGCGCTGGAACGCGGCTTCCGCGCCTTCCACATTCGATATATTCCGGGGTCGCAAAATAAGAAGGCTGACGCCCTAAGCATGTTGGCCTCCTCCCGCGCCGTGCGCTTGACCCAGCGTATCCACATGGAAGTCAAGACCCGCCCAAGCATTCTGGAAGACGAATCCTTGCCTGGGTTGCTTGACGAAGCCTCCTGGATGGCGCCATTCATTCAGTACCTCCGAACGGGAACATTGCCGCCAGACCCGAGGGAAGCCCGGAGGATTCGGCTCAAAGCGCCTAAGTATCTTCTCAGGGACGGGATCCTCTACAAGAGAGGGTATCTGACTCCTCTACTGTGCTGCGTGGGCCCGCGGGAGGCAGAACCCTTGGTGCAAAGCATGCACGAGGGCGCTTGTGGGGGACACTTGGGTTCGCGGAATTTGGCTAAAAAGTTTATCCGAGCCGGGTATTACTGGCCTACCCTGGCTAGGGATAGCTACGACCTTGTCGTTCGGTGCGCGCAATGCCAAAGACATGCTCCCATTCCGCGCTTCCCCCAGCACGAAATGGTCCCGATTACCAGCCCTTGGCCTTTCTACAAATGGGGCACGGACATAATAGGGTCATTCCCCGTGGCCCCAGGCAAGCAGTGGCACCGGGCAAGCTCAAGTTTGTGATTATCGCGATCGACTACTTCTCTAAATGGGTCGAGGCAGAGCCTCTTGCTTCCACCACAGGGGAGAACGTGGCCAAATTCTTCTGGAAGAACGTAGTCTGTCGGTTTGGAATTCCGAAGGTCCTTGTCTCGGACAACGGGACCCAGTTTGAATCAAAGATTTTCTCATCCTGGTGTGAACAGCTGGGGATCGAACAACGGTTCTCGTCCGTGGCCTATCCTCAGGCAAACGAGTTGGCTGAAAACATAAACAAGGCCATCCTCTAAGGCATGAAGAAGCGACTTAAGAAAGCCGAGGGGCTGTGGCCCGAGGAGCTGGCACACGTCCTCTGGTCCATACGCACTACCATGAGAACGGCAACAGGGGCAACCCCTTTTAGCCTTGTTTACGGTATGGAGGTCGTCCTTCCAGCTGAGATTGAGGTCCCCAGCCCCCGTGTGGTCAACTTTGCAGAAGAAATGAACGAAGGCGAAGTCCGCCTGTGCCTCGATTTCCTGGACGAACGTCGAGACCTGGCCAAGGCCCGCGAAGCCAGATACAAACAGATCGTGGCCAAGTACTACAATGCCAGGGTTCGGGCTCGGGAATTCAATGTCGGAGACCTTGTCCTCCGCCGAAATGAGGTAAGCCACGCCAAACCAACCGGTAAGCTAGCTCCAAACTGGGAGGGGCCGTACCAGGTCGTGGAAGTTTCCCTCTCGGGAAGTTATCGCCTGCGCACATGCGACGATGAGCCCCGTGCCATACCCCGATGGTGGAACATCCAGAATCTGAAAAAGTTTAATGCTTAAAAAGGCCCCTGCCCTCTTTTGTAATAGATATCAGCATAGGAAGTTTCGACACTTTTGGCAAATATATAAAAGAACCTCCCGTGCTTTCCTACCAGCGCCATTTACAAGACCGTCTCGACCCAGTGGCCGACGGCACCGTGTGGCCTCCGCGGCCTGCGCAACCCTGACGGTCTCCGCAACCTAGGGGCATTTATAAGACCGTCTCGACCCTAGTGGCCGACGGCACCGCGTGGCCTCTGCGGCCTGCGCAACCCCGACGGTCTCCGCGACCTTGGGGCATTTACAAGACCGTCTTGACCCCAGCGGCCGACGGCACCGCGTGGCCTCCGCGGCCTGCGCAACCCCGACGGTCTCCGCGACCTTGGGGCATATACAAGACCGTCTCGACCCCAGTGGCCGACGGCACCGCGTGGCCTCCGCGGCCTGCGCAACCCCGATGGTCTCCGCGACCTTGGGGCATTTACAAGATCGTCTCGACCCCAGTGGCCGACGGCACCGCGTGGCCTCCGCGGCCTGCGCAACCCCGACGGTCTCCGCGACCTTGGGGCATATACAAGACCGTCTCGACCCCAGTGGCCGACGGCACCGCGTGGCCTCCGCGGCCTGCGCAACCCCAACGGTCTCCGCAACCTTGGGGCATATACAAGACCGTCTCGACCCCAGTGGCCGACAGCACCGTGTGGCCTCCGCGGCCTGCGCAACCCCGACGGTCTCCGCGACCTTGGGGCATCTAAAAGACCGTCTCGACCCCAGTGGCCGACGGCACCGCGTGGCCTCCGCGGCCTGCGGAACCCCGACGGTCTCCGCGACCTTGGGGCATCTACAAGGCCGTCTCGACCCCAGTGGCCAACGGCACCGCGTGGCCTCTGCGGCCTGCGGAACTCCGACGACCTTCCGTCAAGGTAAGACTCAAGTGAACACCTACCGATCATTATAACAACAGCAATACGGTCGAAATATGAAATCCGGGGGAAGATACTCCTATCGCCTCCGTCAAACGATAGCAACATGCCGGCAATAAAAAGAATTTCATATACACAACCGTAAGAACATGAATAACAATAATAAAACAAGTGAACAAAACAAATGATGTATTCGGGGTCAATGGTCAAAAAGGGGAGCTCAAAATTTCTTAAAAATTTTCATGTACATAGCCCTCAGACCTATACACTTAACAAAAATACACAGTTAACTTAACCTAATCACATGTTAACGAGACCCCCGACCCAACTCAAAGAACAAAGCATCGTTCTCGTATATCAAGCGTTCGGCCTCACGAGTCAGAGAAGTGGGCTCGTCTCTCATAGCTGGACAGGGTTCGGGCCACAATGCCGCGAAGTCATATTCCTTCACCGTCTCCACAATGAAGGATATCGCGCTCTCTAACACCGTCCGAAGCTGTCCAGCATATGCCCGAAGAGCCTCGATCTTATCAGAGGAACGATCCCACTTCACGGCGACCAAGGCGTAAGCCTTTCGAAGGTGTACCAGCACGCTCTCAAAGTAGTTACGGGGGATGAAATCTTCCGGATCGGGTTCGGCTAAACCCTCGTCCTTCTTCTTCTTCCGTATCTTGGCTTCGAACGTCCGAAGGCGATTGTTAGCCAACTTCTCTAATTGTATGGAATTCTTTAGATGGTCTTCCCAATAAGCTTCCGTATCCTGCCATAACTTATCCAACTGGTCGTTCTCGACCTTCGCCTCGAGAACGGCCTTACGTGCCACGCTCAACTCCGAGGCCCGGAAGGTTTGCAGAGCCTCTTCGAGCTGCCCTTCAAGACCTGACAGTCGTCCTCGACTCCTATCGACGTTCGGATCTGCCAAGGCCCCTCTACGACCGCGTAAAGTGGAAAGGCCGTAGGGTCGTGGTGAGGGTCGGGCAACTGCATGTCAATCCACGGGATCCCTGAAGTTTCCCAAAGACCCGGGGTCGCGGGCAACCCTCGGGAGGTTCCGTCAGGGTGAGAGGGGAAGTCTGAAGCCGTGCCCTTCCCCTGTAAGGAAGCGCGTGTTAGCAACGAGCCCTGTGGACGCGCTTCCCTAAAGATAAAAACAAGTTTGCACTGAGGAACAGATGCTTATATCCAGACTATAAACTGAAAATTTCCAATTAAAGTTGTTCCGATAAAATAAACACAGTGATAAGTCCGAATGTGCGAAACAAGAGACGACGGAGAATAAACATAAGTTGTATTTTTCAAAAAATAATCAAAATTCAGATACAACAGGGAAAGCCCCGGGAACATGATTGCTAGGAATCCTAACCCTATGCGTCGTTCACCTTGTCTCCGCTGCGGGCGTTGGAATCCGTGGACGTTCCTCCTCCTCCTTGGCTGCCAGAGTTATGTCCTTGGGGTGGAGGATCGGATGCTATTATCTCAGGTTCCTCCTCCGGCCCCGGTGGCGTGCTGGGGGGCGTCTCGGTTCCCCTCGGCATCTGAAAGACGAACGAGGGACTGCCCGGAATGTTCAGAATGTCCTCGGGCTTTGAGAGGGAGGCGCTGGCCTCGGAAATCTGCTGCATGATGGGGAGACGGGCAAAATCCATATCCCGGAAATGTTTCCGGGCCTTGCACCGCAGTCGCACCGCGGACATCTTCCCTTTCCTGTCCCTGTCAGCATACTTCTCGAGGATGGGCTGGATGTCGTCGTTCTTCTTCTGGGCCGCCTCGATTTCCAAAACGACCTTCCTCGCCCCCCTCTCCATGGCGGGGTCCATGACATCGTTTATTCCGAGGGCAAACTCGGTCGACCCCAGGTACCACTGGACCCCTGCCAAGATGTATGTGTCCAGCCCAGACTTCGGGACACTCGTGGCCAGCAAGCTTTCCATCTCGAGGCGGTGGGTCAGCTCCGCGTCCTTGAGCTGTGCCTTCACCCTCGCAATCTCCTCTTCCAGGCGCTTCCTCTCTTCTTCTAGATGCGCTCTCCTCCCTTCCGAGGCCTTAAACATGACCTCCGTGTCTCTGGCCCTGTTGGCCTCGCTCGTGGCTGCCCTCTGGGCCGAGACTAGCTGCTCTCTCAGGCCCGCGCATACTGTCACAAACGTACTGACTGCCTGCACGGCCTGCAATGGGAACATCCTAGGTTGGTGAGGGAACACATTTACGGGGATAGAACCCTTGGAAGTAAAAACAAAAGCACTCACCTGTCTCATGTCGTCCTCTAGCCTCGTCGCTCCAGTCTCGGGTAACTCAGAGCACTCGACCCGAGGAGGGTCGAAGGTCAGCAGAGCGTGGCCCGCGGGTATATCCTCGAACAGATCGGTGCCCCGGCCCGGATCTGCATAACCTTCCTTCAGGAGATCGTCCAAGGAGGACAACTCATGGATCGCTGGAAGGCTAAAGGACAGCGGATCCACTTCCACGACCTCCGAGGCCCCCCTCTTCCTCTTCAAATGACCTGAGGATTGGCCGGAGGAGCTCCCCCTCTTGGAACCCTCGACGGGCGTCCTCGTCGTCTGCACGGAGGAGGCCGCCCCCGTCTCAGGCGGGGCGACCTCTTGCGGCCCCTCTTCGGCGTACTGCTCTTCCACGTCTGAATCATCAAAAGCCGAATGTTTACCCAACAAATTAGCAAATACACCTATCAACAGAAAATAACCGGAGTTAGTCTTTGGGTAAGATACCTTGATTACGAGAGCTGATCCGGTTGCTTAGCGACGCAATTTGCCTATAGGTATAGGTCTTTTTCCAGCCGGCTAACTTCTCCAAGTCCCTCCTCCGGGTTTCAATATCTTTCTTGTCCTTCTTGGTCCACGGATCCAAGCTGACTGTCCCTCCCTCGTCTGACGTCCACGGAAAAAGAGAGACGAAGTTCGCGTCCACGTAGAAGAATCCCAACCTCCAATGTTTAGAGCTCTCGTTCTTTGCTACCAACTCCTTGGATGGTCCGTGCGGATTCTTAGTGAAGCTGAACCACTCCGGAAAGCTCTTCCCGCATCGGACGAGCTTGTAAAAGCACCTGAACAAGAAAATATCTGGTTCCACCCCCATCTTGTTGCACACGTGCACGAAGGCCAGGACTATGGTTATGAGGTTCGGGGTGTATTGGGCCAGGGGTCGGCCATAAGCCTCTACAATCTTCCTAAACATAGGCATCAAGGGAAAATGCAATCCGTATTCCAAAAACTTCTTGTATATCGTAATCTTCCCCGGAGGAGGAGTGTTGGCTCTCTCATGGCCTTTGGGCAATATGGGGTTCACGGCCGTAAGGCTGTAATAGCTCTCCAACTCACCTAGCCTCTCTTGGGTTAACAAACATTCTACGTCCTCTACTCTAACTACTTCCTTTGCCATCTGATGAATCGAAGGAGCAAGAAAAGAAAGAAACTTACTTGTCTGCGGTCGGCTAAGATTCACCCCCGTACTTACGCCGGCTTCAATTCCGATCTCTGGGCTAAGAAGCACCCTCGGTTACGAAGTAGAAAGGATTTGTGGAGAGAAAATAAAGCTTAAGTGTTTACACCTGGGAGAGAAAACAAAGAGGAGGAAATGAAGTTCTGTGTCCTATGGGGTGTATATATACCCCCCCTCAAGGGATGCGAACAGTCGCATCGGTTACCTTCAGGCGCCATCATTGCGGTGCTTTGTTCCATGAAATCCTGGGCGTCCATCCCGTTTGAATATAGAAGATCCCGACCGTTGGATCCGTTGAATGTAGAAGATCCCGACCGTTGGATCCATGGTGATCAAGTGGAGGAAGGTCCTAGGCTTTTGGGCTCTTTCGACTGGGTCTTCAATTTCTCTGTGTCCAGCCCAACCCGACTCCCCTGCATTGGGCTAGATAGGGGCATTTGTTGGAGGTCATTTTTGGCCATCCCGGACCGGCCCAATCGGCCCATTAACTTGGGCTGACTTCATGGACCCAACTTGTCCATTTGGTTAATTCTTTTGGGCCCTGGTGATCCACAAAGAATTAACACATGTCTATTTACACTTTTGCCCCTCTTGACAGAGGGGTCCACAGGTATAGTCCCATTAGGGACCTATAAATACTCCCTGATTCATTTATTACATTCCCAATTTTTCCACACTCCCGCTCTCTCTCTCTAAGTGTGGTAACAAATTATCTCAAAGGACTGACTTGACCTTCAGAGTGCTAACCTCCTTTTTGCAGGTTCTAGTCTAGGTCGGGCTGTTGGCTTCGTTTCTGGGATTTACCCTCGACAGATATCAATGATTTTCTCAGACAAAATTATAGGTCAAGATCTTAATGAATTCATATTTCGATATTCGGACTTCAGATTTCACACATCTTTTTCCATCTTCAGATTTTGATTTTTATCCAACAAGACAAACCTAATCAGTTTAGTGTTTATGGTTCAGTCTTTGGACTTCCACGTTCAAACCTCAAATTAAGTTTTACCAAACAATGCCTAAACCTAAAGGTGATAGATTTTGGCACCATCTTACTTATGAAGAGCTTATGAAGATGATCACAATGAAAGAGCTAAAGAAAGCAGTTTTTAGTCTTGATGCAGCAAGTGCTCCAGGAATAAATGGATTTTATGGAGAATTTAATAGTCACTGGTTAATTATCATAAAACATGACCTTCTTGTGATATGTATAAAATTTATGATTTGGGTTCCGATTCCTAGAGCTATTAGAAGCACTCTTATAACGTTAATAACTTTAATCCCGAAGAAGTTGTCAATTACAACATTTGCATATTTCCGGCCGATAAGTATATGCGATGTCCCCAACAAAGTCTCCACAAAGATCCTCACTAAAAGATTGAAACTGTTGTTACTAAAACTAATTTTAGAAGAGCAATCACCATTTGTATCCGGGAGAGATGTAACGGACAACATTTTCATGACCCAAGATCTTTTCCAGTTCCTATCATCCAACAGTTGGAGAGAATTAATTTTACAGGTTGATATGATGAAGGCATTTGATCGGGTGTCATGACAATTTTTAATCTCAATTCTGTCAGCCTTTGGATTGCCGTAAAAAATTCATAGAGCTCATAATGTCAAATTTGAGAGGGAGCCGGTTTTCTACACATGGCAGTCCAACAGACTTCTTTCAAGCAAACTAGAGGCCTAAAGCTGGTAGACCCCTTATCAGTTTACCTCTTTATATTATTATTTGAAATTTGATTACCAATTTGCAATTTTTGACAGGTACTGGAAGGAGAGTAACTCATGGAGTACCAACAAGATCCTTTATTGTTTTCCACCTTTACATTGCAGATGACTTGTTCATATTTACAAAAGGTCCAAAACTGTCAATGCATCAACTAAATAAATTTTTTCTGGACTATGAAAGAGCACCAGGACAAATGATCAACAAGCTTAAGAGTTTGTTTTTGTACTTTAGAAACTAACAGCGACAATCAAGTTCAAATGGTGGCCAATGAATTGGGAATGTAGCGAGGGATTTTTCATTTCATTTATTTGGTTGTGCAAGTATTTAGAGAAAGGAAAAATGCAGCCACCTTTAAGTACCTCTTGGATGCATTTGATGCAAAGTTAATAAATTGGAAGAATAGGATGCTTTCACATGGAGGAAGGCTACTCTTAATCAAACATGTGCTTTCAGCTAATCCTATACACCCAATAGCTGTGATCTCTCCTCCAAATCAGTCCTTGCAATCTTGGAAAAGAAATGCCAAGACTTCTTATGGGGAGAGACTGAAGGGAAGGCAAATCGCCACTCGAGGTCATGGAACCGAATCACATTCTCAACATTAGAAAATGGTCCCGAAAATTTCAGATGTTATAGCTGCATTTTCAATGAAGTTATGGTGGAAATTAAAGACGAAGCAAGGAGTTTGGGCTAAATTTATTTCTTCCATTTTGGATTCCTCGAAAGCTAAAACAAGTTGGAAAAATTTAAGGTTGTTGACAAACAAGCATCAGACCATGCGTATCCGAATATAGGACAAGGAAATGCTTCATTTTGGCAAGATGAATGTTCCTTGGGAACTAGCTTCTCAAGTGAGGTAAGTCCAATTCCAATGCGTCCTTACAAAAACCTAACTATTTTAGAGAATTCTTTGTGCAAAATTTATTTGGCATAGGTGTATTCCTTTTAAAAATTTCATTTTTTACTTAGTGACTTCTAAATAAGTTGCTTCTCTTTGCAGATATGCTTTGAAAAATAGGTAATTTATTTCCCTCAAGATGCCCCTTTTGTCATCAACATGAGAAAACAATAGAGCATTTTTTTCTTTGACTGTGATCTACCTCAAAATTGTCGGAAGATTTCTGCTGCAATGCTGAACATTTTCATTCCTTGGGTTACAAGTCTAACTACATAACTAATGGCATCTCTCTTGAAAATAGTTCATCTGCTTTTAAGATCATAATCTCAATAAATCCAAGCTTTGTGGTTTGGGAGATTTGGAAGTTGAGAAATAGTATCATATATGAAAATGTGCGGCCAAATCTTCAAGAAATAATTCAGACCATTGTTATGCGTATCTCTAATCTTTTGTATGTCATGGAATACTTGCCAAATGGATTTCAGAGCAAAAGAATTATAGAGAATTTATTTCAGGTACAGATTCAAAGATCAGAAAAGAAAAAAAAATCAAAGCTTTGACCTGGCAAAAAACCTTCACCAGGGTCCTATGATCTCAACTAGGATGGATCAGCACTTGGTACCCGGAAGAAGCAGGAATTGGATGCATAGTCCGAGAAGATCATGGTAACCTTAAATATTTCCGCAACAGGGAAACCAATTAGATTGAAGTACAGCTTTGAAGTGGAAGTTGAAACATTGCTACTTGGGCTAAAGAAATGTGAAGAGCTTCAGTTGAGACAAGTGCAATTAAGGCTAGACAATAAAGTCTTAGTGAATATACTTAATGGAGAAAAGCTATATCCATGGAAAAGCAGAATAGCTCTAGAACAAATAAAAAAAGCGATGACAAGAATGCATTACACACGTATTCATGTAATTTGAGAGGAAAATTTATCACGGATGCTCTAGCTAAACTTGCTTTACTGGACAAACTCTCCACATAGAGGCTTGATATTGCTAGCTAAACAGATGTGTCATGAGATTTTTAGAAAGTCTGTGTAAGACATGTGCTTAATATTAATTTTAAATTCTGCGCTGTCAGTGGATTCTTAGAAGATCTTTGTAAGACAGTTTATAGTAATTTTGTTCAGAGCTGTCATAGAATTTTTAAATAAATCTTTGTAAGGCAAACTCTTTTATTGGGTAAGTCTTAAATAATACATTTTATACTATAGTTTTAAAATTAATAAGATTGGGAGGAATGTCCGCCAAGTATTACACCGGATTTAACTGAAGGAAAAAAACACTGACGGATCCATATTGGGGCTCGGGAGATCTCGAGCCCCTCCGGCCTGCCATAGAAGTCCAGATTTACCTCTGGCCTGAACCCATTGGACTTGTGTTTTCTTCCTTCAGCCCCCTCGGATGTTAGAGTGGAGGGGCTTGAAGAGGATGGAAAGCCCACTCTATGAGGCTGGGTGTTTTATTGTTATGATTTGAGGGTTTATTTTTCAGATTTGAAGGTGTCGGCGGGAGAGAAGAGTTGCAGTGATGAAGGGATGGAAGAATATGATGACTAGAATTTAATAATTTGGTAAATTTTAAAATTGGTCCTATAGTTACAACATATTGTAAATATTATCTCATTATCACTAAAAATTATTTTTCTTACCCTTTTGTTAGAATTTCAACCCCTTAACTATCCAAAAATATGGCATCATCCCAAAAATTTGTGCATTTAGGACAATGAAAATTTAGTTAAAAATAAATATTATTCTTTAATAATTAACACTGAATTGAAAAATATATTATCACACATTCCAAATGAGTCTTAGACTTCTTTATTTAGAAATCTTGATTTTACACCTACAAATCTGAAAAGTAACATAAGATATTATAAAATTTATAATATACACTATTGAAAAGTTCTACAAAATCCGATGCACAGCAAGCCCCCTCAAACATCAGTTATTAATTGGTTCGGCCACTGTTATTAACTACTCTCTATTGCTCTTGGATACCAATATGGAATAACTATTTCTACCCATGACTTTAGTAAATAGAAGAATGTTTTCATTGTGGCGTTTCTCAAGAACGACTCAAGTCCTTTGGAAGTATTGAATCAGGTCCGTTGAAATCATCTCGTAGTTGGAAAATATGGGAGCTCCAAGATAAGAAATGGTATCCTCATCATACAATCCTTACGGAAGCTATTCTACTTCATTCTTTTCCTTCAAATTGAGTATATCAACAACGCGAAATTTGGATTATTCCATCCGCTTCATACAGATGCAGTGTATTTACATTGTTCGAATACAAAGAAATTCGTCGTGTCATGCACACAGACCTCTAAACCTAGATGATATGCACTTGGGCTCATGATCGAACTTGAACCGCGAGCTCATGGTGATAACGGTACTAAGCCTATTTATTTAACGAAAAAAAAAGGTGTAACTACAAGTTCGCATTCTCTTCTAGTCATTCGAAACTTGGCCCGTCTCCATTTCTCAGTCTCTATATATACAAACAAGAAATCCGGATTCGAGTTGGATCCTCGTCTTGGTGGTCCTTGTAATGTTTGTACTCTCAACTATCGCCGGCACCGATCTAGAACCCTAGTTGTAATACCTATCTAAAGTTCAGGAGTTTACACTATGATTTTTGTTTTATGTTGGATATTAAACTATTTTAACTTGATTTTTCGAATTTCTCTTCTCTATTTTTTTTTCTGGTATTCTCTACGTATTGAATTCACACATAGACGTATGATTTAGAACTATTACGTACTCTACTCATAGACTTCTATAAATTATATTATCACGTTATGGTACAAACAAATTAATACGTACTATTACGGAGTTTTTTTCCCCCTCGGTGAGAATTATATTAATATAGATTTTGGAATTTTGATGTACTCTGTGCACATTTGTAATTTAGATAGCTAGCTGTGAGTTCTGAAATGCAACTTTTTTAATAAAGTTTTTGTACTGAACACTATTTGCTATGAAGATCATAGAGTTTCTCAAGATGGATGCATGAACGTTATTATTCACCTAAATATATCCGACATGAACGTGAATGTGTTCAAAAAATGATATAGTTGATGTTTTCTACCAACAATATATACATAATAATTTATTGATCTATGCATTTACCTTCTTTTTTTACCCAAAAAGGATATAATACATATAATATTTAACCGGCCTACATTAGTAGGTTTTTAAATTAGTTTCCAAAATAAAATAATAAAATTAAATAACCGTAGAACATGCCTATCGATACCATGAATAATAAAAATTAAAAAAAAAAAACATGTAAGTTGACAAACCTATACCATAGAGCCAATTATGATATTATGCCACAAGGTTTTTCTTTTCCTTTTTTCTTTTGGGCACAAACAAATTAAGAGGCTGAGGACCCATAGAATTGCTTTACAGGTACACAATCCCAATAGTGTCAAGGCAAATAACCCACGTTAGCCTTCCATTAGTGTAATTCCACCCTCCATAAAAAGCAGATACTAATAAAAATCGCTGCAAAATTAATGAATTTCATGCTTAATTAGACCTTAGGAGAAAGATTTGCGGATGAATCTTTGTAAAAGGGACAAAACTCGCGCAGCAAATATTTGAATCGTAGTTATCATTAAACTAGTGTTTGTTGGTGAGTTTAGGAGTGTAATTAACTTAAAAGTATATGTTAAAGATGCATGGCGCATGAGAAAGAAAAACAATTTTAACAGCTACGTACTGTCGACTCGCTGGAACCTCATCATTTACCACGACTAATTTCTAAACGCCTTCAATGAAAGTTAACTATAAAAAGTCTAAGCATTCTTCCCGCTACCTTTACAGAAAAGTATTCAAAAAAAGAATCACTACCTTTCATACCAAGAAAAGAGATACTAGGCGGCATAATGAGCGATCAATCGCATTTTCTACTTAAATAAATTGATGTGATTGTGAACCAACTTTTTTGAGTCGATGTATATACACACATGCAGTGCTAGAAATAAACTATGATATTGGGTCATTGTGCGTGTGATTTGTCGGATTCATCCAAGATTCAGGATGCATTATTGATTCGACCCATTATAGAGTTGCTTAGTATTGGAATTAAATTAAACTATGTTTTAATTAGTTGTGAAATTAATTTTATGGTGGACTCTCATTTCACAATATTAATTAGCATCATGCCCATACGCGAATATCCTCGTCTACCTGCCCTACCATCTTTAGTACGATCTTGTTAAGAAATAGTAGTCGGGGATTAAAAAAAATTCAGGAAAAGAAGTTATTCTGATCTAACAAATATCTAATCTGAATGTAATATGTGAAATTTAATATCAAATCATTTTAAAGTAAAAGTATGCCCATAATTGAAGACAGCAATTCAATATAACAACTGCATTAAAAATTCCAAGATATACAAAACAAGATTGGTCCACCACAAGCAAATTAGACTATATAAGAACGAAAAGAATTTGCAAACAGTAACAAAAAGATTTCTTATTATTAGAACACAAAGTAATTCAGATTAATTTAAGGAGGAAAGGGATCAAAAGTGTCGGCCGAATGAATCCATTGTGAGATTGGAGAGAGAATAATTTCAGTGGCTGACCACCGCAAGAAACAAAAACTTGACAATCAATCCATTTCATACCCAATCAATTTCCACAAACAAAACGGATTATATATACTAATGGTGATTGATTAAAATCCCTTATGACAAAAAAACAAAAACGATATGGGAAATTGTGTTTTGAGAGGTTTTGGAGGAGGAGATGAGAATCAGGTTACAGAGATGGTCAAAGTGGTAACATTAAACGGTGGAATTATGGAGCTTTACCCTCCAATCACGGCGGGGTGTATCACCGGCGAGTTCCCGGATCACGGTATCTTTCTCCGGCAGTGTCCGACCGGAGATGATGATCATGAACAAAGTAACCTGCAGATTTCTTCTCATCCTTTACTTGATACCCAACAACTTCATCCAGGACGACTCTATTATCTACTGCCCCTTAAAGCCACCGGCCCGGCGGCCGTCCCGGCAGCCACCAGCCGCCGGCTGAGCAGCTCAGCCGACGGAGGAGTTACCCGTGAAAAAAGGAGGAAGCAAGAAGACACGGCGGCGGAGTTGCCGAGGTATAACGCCGGAAACACCGGAGTGTGGAAGGTCCGGTTGGTGATCAAGCCGGAGCAGCTGTCGGAAATATTATCCCACGAGTCCCGGACTGAGGAACTTATAGAAAGTGTCCGTACGGCGGCAAAGTTCGGCGCCACCGCCACCGGTAATTATATTAATAATAATAATAATCATATTGCGAGTACGAGATCATCACCCTCATCTTGGGTATCTTCAATGGCTGCCAATAATTATTATTCCAATCGATCCAGTGTCTCCAGCAGTTGGAGGATCGAGCATTGAATTCTTTTGTTATTGTTGTTATTTTTTTTACATTACTAGTGTGCGATTGTGTCTAAAATTTGACACGAAGAGAAAAAAAGAAATATACATATATAATAGTACATTACACGTTCAATATAGAGTTCAATAAGTCGGATTCCAACTTCAAAGCTCAACAGATTGGTTGTAGCATGTGTTTATGTACAAATTATATGTATACTTTGTTAATTAGTGCAAAATTGGTATAGATGATTCAAATGATGTATGCGCTTACAAGTCACATTTAATTAAGTAAACAGACCAAACATATGTTTCCTTCTTCGTCTATGATAACGCTCTCTTTGTTTGCCATTTGTGGTAAATATCGCAGCATCTGAGTATAGTATTTTTCATATTTTGTGAGAGTGGGAATTAAAAATGACGCTTCTTAAACTACGTTATTTCATTTTTGTTTTTTGAAAATGTATATGAATTTATTTGCCGCAGACAAAGTGAAATGAGACTCGGAACAGTACATGTTCGCAAGAATACAGTTCGTTCAGAAGGGGAAAAGAAAAAAAGTTATTGGGGAAAGGTGAATGAATTGTCAACCCTGATCATTAAGGCAACTTGTGGCTACTAAATGGCAAGTAGACAACTAATTCAAATTGTGTGTAACAAGTAAGGAGATCAGAGGAGGAAATTGGGGTGGAAAACTTGTCTTTCTTTGGTTTATTCAAAATAAACTTTTAACCCTGTAATGGGTTTGCTGGTGATCTGAAATTGGGCTCTCTCCATGACAAAAAATTAATGCATGGTGTTCAAAAGAAAGACTATATGCAAACTCTATCTTCATCAAGGCTCAAGCCCATTCGTCCAAGTGCTCAAAAGAGTAACACTAGGGAGATCATACAGTAAAGACATTGTTTTCCCAAAATAAAAAATAATAAAATAATAAAAAATAAAAAAGACACTGTAAAGCCATTCAAAAAAACAACTCTTAGTTTTAATTTTTAAGTGTGACAAAACTGCACTAGGCAAAACATTTGGAAGAGATTGTCGTGCCATCTCTTGACGACTCTCGATGTATATATAAGACTAATTAGGATTTGTGTAGTTACAATGATTAACCTATGTAAAATAGTAACTATATATAGTAAAGAAGTAACTACTTAAATACACGAATATATATACTTAATGGGTGTCAAATTATACATATTTAGCAAGCATATTTAGCCTCATCTTTACTTGAAAATAAGTCCAATTAGTTAGAATTAATTTAGTTTTAATTAAGTTTTTTGTATTTGGGTGATCAAGGTATTCGATGGTGCATTTGAGCAAAATATGGGCTATGGTGCCACTCGGGGAAGCCACAAACATCACTATCCAGAGTGGTTGTCGTTACTGTTGTTGATGGGACTTGAATCGGATAAGGAGCCGCACGAATGGAGGCTCACGGATCAGATTTTGGAAGTTTTATGAAAGATTTGGAACTAAGGAACAATAAGCTGATTTGATGTTGCTGATTTTGTGGGTGAAAAATAACCCAAAAAGGTGGATTAAATGAAAAGAAGGACATGGAGGTATTGGTGAGGGTGAGATCGTTGACACCACTAAAAAGAAAATTAACCTACTCAAAACTATTAGATAGCAGTAAGCAGGGTCGATCCACAAGGACGGCAGTAAATCAATAAAGACTTATCAAAGTGTAAAATGGAAACGTAAACATAACAGATTGTCACTTGGGAAAGTGAGAAAGTCACTTGACAGAGTGTAGAAGAACTAGGGCCATCCTCCTTCCTATCTATATGATCATGTATTGATTCTCTTTGTTCTTTTTGCACATATGAGCATTGTCTGATCAGGTACATGTATTCTCTACCTTCAACTTCGATAACAGTAAAGAGTCCCAATATAACCAAATTACCTCTATCTCTGTGATAATTATTCATTACCCCGAGCCATTGATTTCCTAGGCCTTGGTGATCACCTATGACAATCAACTAACTCTCATTAATGATTTAAACCGTTGTTATCTCCATTGTCATAGACTAGTTCAAGCAGTTCTGAAATTATGTTCACTCTCTCAAGATTCCATAATTATGCATGCACAATTAGCTAAGTGGCCATTTTAACTAAAAGGTTAATTAAAACACTTAAACCAGATACAATGCTTCATATAAGAACTTTGGATCAAACATTCACATATAGATAGTTGGGATTAAGCCCTAGAATAAGTTTAGCCACTCATGTTTTTTGATCTAAAGATGAGGGCATCAAAAGACAAAATATTCAGAATCATTCAGTACAAAAGATTTAAGACATAATTGGGTAAAGAGTGTAGCAAAGCAGATTTTGTCTGCTCACTTGGGGAAGTGAACTTCGTCACTTGCCCGAGTGACAGTCTGCACTCTTTCTTTTGCTATCCTCTGTTTCTGTCCTAACTAACGAACTAAAACTATTTCTGATTATGGATCTGTTCTAACTTCTCAATATGTTATTTTTAACTCCTATTGCATGTCCTATTTATATAGATTTTGAGAGGTCTTGGATGGTTGCTTCTTCTGGTCTTCTTCTTTGTAGCAGAGTAGAGGTGGCCGCTTGCAGCATTTAGAAGTTTGTTTATTCAGCAACTTGTCAATTTGCCAAGTTGCATTCATCTGATTTTTTTTCTTCCTCAACCGTAATCAGCCACCTTCTTCTCATCAATACCTTCTCTTTTAGTCTTCTTCTCCAGCGCCTCTTCACTATTTTCAGCCACAAATCTCTATTTCTTCTTTCTTTAATCTTCAGCACTATCAGCTTCAAAGAAAGCATGCAGCGGCATCAACAGCATGCTTCTGTGTAATCATCATGTTCCTTCCTACTTAGCCTCAAATTTAGTCTCTAATGTTCTGCTCTTCTCTTCCTTATTTCCTGAAATCATGTGCAGTACCATTTCTCACCTCCAACAGTAGCAATTCCTTTAATTAATTAGAAACAGCAGCATTAGGCAAGTAGCAGAGTAGCTGCCACTTTATTCTTCATATTTTTCCGCTTTCTCTTTTTCATTTGCAGCAACAGCAACTTGCAGTGATGGTGCAACAATTCTTTCTTTCAGCAGCAAGATTTCAGCTTCATTTTCTCCTTGATTGACAGAATCAGCAGCAGCTACAGCAGTAGCTTGGCAGCAGAATAGCTTCCCATTCTGCATTTTTCCTTCTCTTTTTTTTTTGGCTACAACTTGCAGTGATCAACAATTGTGACGATGATGCAACCATTCTTCCTTCATCAGCAAGGATTCAAATTCTGCCTCTTCTTCGATCGATCACTTCCAGCCTTGATTTCTAGCAGCTCCATTTCCAGTCCATTTTTATGTCTTTTTTCACCTTTTGGCGTCAGATTTTCAGCAATTTCTACATTGACCCTCTGATCACCCTGAAATGTAGAACTAACTCAAAAGTAAACTAATTCTACTTAATTAACATTAATTTATAAGTAAAAATGAATAAGAATTTCTTGCTAAAAGTGGTTAAATTTAAGTGTGATCAGGTATGGCCCCAAAAAGCTAATCAAAGACTACCCCAAAAAGTAAATCTTGACTCCTTGATTTAGTGAAGACTAAAGTAGTAAAAAGTTTCATTACTAATGTTCTACATAACAAGAAGATCAACGCAAAGAAAAGAAGAAGACAGTAAGGAAAAGAGTCAAATACAAAACATAAAGGAGTGAAAAAGTGGCAGCAAGGAGGAGAAGAGTCTGCACTTGGGGAAGTCAGAAGATGACTCGAGGAAGTTACTTGAAGACAACAACAATTCCCTGAGTTCTTTCTCCTTCATTTAGTTGTTTTCTTGCTTTGTATTAATGTTTAATACTCTGTGATGCATCCTTTGTTGTTTGTATCTGTACATAGTAGCTAAACTCTTCTCTAGGGTCTAATCCCTCTTATAGATACAAGTATATTTTGGTAATGCTCCTATATGATTTATTGTATCTAATTCTAGTGTCTCAATCAACCTCTTAGTTAAACTAATCACGTAACTAATTGTACATGCATATTATGGAATCTTGAGAAAGTGAACATAGTTTGCAACTCCTAGAACCAGTCCATGAGCAGGGGGGATAACAACCTGTGGTTCTGAACAACATAGATATATAGTTTTTTGGCATGGGTAGTCATATAAGACTTAGGTACTTAATGTCTTAGTATAATCTAGAATCAACATAGAAATATAGTTGGTTTGTTTATGCTAAGGTACATTTTGGATATCGAGAGTGACCGTAAGATATACTAGTGCATGATCAAACATAAATCATATAGCGAAAGAAACAAATAAAACCATAACACAACTGTATAAAGAAGAGTGGAGGATGACCCTAGGTTCCTCTTGGTTCCCACTTTCTATCTGTCCACTTGGGAGTCGCAAAAGTCACTTGCCCAAGTCATAGTTAGTTGTTTATTTTCATGTTGCTCTGTCTTTTTTGAATCATTTGGGGTTAATTAGAGTTTGACCCGTCCCTGTGGGATCCACCCTACTTACCATTATCTGAAATTTTAAGTAGGTTAATTATTTTGGTAGATTCGATACCCATCAATACTCTAATTATCTACACTAACACCCCCCCTCAAGTTGGAGCATGAGGATTTTGAATGCCCAACTTGCCAAGAAAGAAGTCGAATTCCCTCTTGCCAAGACTTTTAGTGAAAATATCAGCCAACTACTCTCGAGTAACACATAACTAGTAGAAATAAGACCAGTAACGAGGGCATCAAGCACAAAATGACAGTCAACTTCAATATGCTTCATACGCTCAAAAAATATTGGATTAGCATCAATACGCATGCTGCCTGACTGTCACAATATAGACGCATGGTTTGAGAATGAGCAACTCCAAGATAGCACAATAACTCCCTCAACCATTTCAACTCACATGTGAGGGTAACCATAGCACGATACTCAGTCTCGATGGAAGAATGAGCCACCGTATGTTGTTTCTTTGTGAACCATGAAATGGAAAAATTATCCAATTGAACAAACCAACATGTAAGAGAACGTCAAGAAATAGGATAACTCACCCAGTTAGAATCACGCTAGCTATACAACTGCAAATCACTGTCTGCACGCAAAAGGATCCCTTGTCTAGGAGTCCCTTTCAAATAACGAATAGCTTGAATTGCAACATCCCAATAAGCATGCATAGGGTTCTGCATAAACTGAGCCAACATGCGAACATTTTAAGATAATTCGAGACAAGTGACTTCCAAATAGATCAGAATGCCAACCAAGCGGCGATAACGCTCAGGATTAGAAAAAGAGTACTCTCAGCCAACGGAAGACTATGATTCTGTTCAATTGGAAAGTTCACAGGTTTACCACCAAACAATCTAATCTCAGACACACTGCCAAGTGTATACTTGGGTTGACATAAGAATAAACCAGTAGAATTGTGGGCAACCTCAATGTCCAAAAAATATTTTAGAACCCCAAGATTTTTCATATGAAGACAATTACTCAAGTAGGTTTTAAAGCGCAAAAGAGCAGAATTATCATCAACAATAATGATGAGATCATTCACAAACACCAACACATTAAGATGCACATTATTTCAATGCAAGGTAAATAAGGAATAGTCAGAGTAAGATTGCAAAAAACCATATTGCTTCAAAGTACAAGCAAGCTTTGCAAACCTACCTTTAGGAGCTTGCGTC